AAAATATTATATTAATAAAAGAATAAATATACAAATGAATTGTATGTAATCAAATATTCATGTTGTATATAACATAAATGAAGAAGATAACATATGGTTTACTACCAAATTTAGGAGTTTGGGTTCAATTAGAATTTTTACTCTCAAACCACTTATTTAAAAAAATTCCCACTTTCCCCAATTTCTCATGTTCGAAAAAAAAAAAAAAAAAAAAAAAAAGAAGAAGAAGAAGCTAACATGTAATGCTCATTATAGAAAATTTTTTTATCTCAAATAAATGATTCAATTAAAATTTCTATTGAGAGAATCACAACTATTGAGAAGGGATGAGATGAATAGTAACTCATAGACTTCAGAGTGCCTTGCCGTGCAAGTAAATGCCTGTATATTTCTCTCCTGTCCTGCTATATGTTTCTTCTTCATTTGCAGCCTGGACCTGCACTTCAATTCTTTTTCCGAGTTTGCAAAGACATGGAAGATGCAGACAGCTATTTTTTCCTATTTTCTTTCACTTCACCAAGAAAAGCATGTAAACCTTACCTTCTTTTGTCCTTCCTGAGGAAGGATACAAATTGTACAGAAGAAACATCTCTCTATACATCAAAAATAGTAAGATGGAACTGGTGGAGCCATATAAATACTCGTGTGACACATATAATTCAATTAAAGTTCAAATTTCAGTAGTATGCCTTTTAACCATAGAGATTACTGTAATCGCAGCTAGCTACCCAAAAGGAGGTGAATTAGGTCAAATCAATTTTTGCTTAAAATTTTGTTTCTTTTTGTTTCAACTCTTAAATCAAAATTTTAGTATATAAACTGTTGTGCAAAATAAATAAAAAATAATAAAGTGCAGAAAAATAAAAAGAGAGGAAAGAGAATATCAAGTCTTGATTTATAGTGATTTCTCCAACCCGAAGTACATTCATTCCTCCAATCCGAAGTACATTCATTCCTCAAACCTCCTTGCTCGAGAGTTCAGTCCACTATGATTCTCTTGCTTACGGGTGCAAGATTAAACCAAAAGAAATTTTTGCTTGTGAGTGCAAGATTAAATCCTTACAAGTGAATCTCAACAACTCATTGAATCCCTTTAAGGATTATCCCAATCCAAGAAGAATACAAAACTCTTGTAAGACAATTAATCCAAAAGCTCACAAGAAGAAGAAGAAGAAGATCCATAATAGTTTCAAAAACAAACTCTATTTTTCTGTTTACTTGGAGAAGTTTGTTTCTATATCTGATTCAGATCTGATTTTGATGTTCTTTTTAATAGTTGGTTGGGAGCCTTGCAATTAAAATCCATTTTGCCCTTCAAAGCCACCTCACAATTGCTCCAATTAGATCCCACTTTTTTCTACTGACTTGTCTTGGAAAGTGCTTAGACATTTGGATCCCCTAAGCCTCATTAAGAATAAACGGATAGTTAAGCTGTCAAAATTTTATCTTCCAAAAATTTTTGCTTCGATGCCATATATATTGGTTTGAACCATTTTTGGAAAAAGAATTACGGGTTTGGTTTGAACCCAAAACTCTGAACAAGGAAGACATGATTTAATTCTAATAGTGGGGAAAGATTAAAATCCTTGAATTAACTTTTTAGACACTTAGTACAAAAATAGATTAAATTCTTTTGAATCATGGTCTTAAATCATTATCAAAATACAAAGAGAACCTAACAATTACATGTGGCTCTCCCTCTCTTTTCCAGCTTATATAGTTTGTCTTCTCTGCCTTCCAAAAAATTTTATTTGAACTGGGATACATTTCTCCAGGTCCATTGATCAAGTAAGATTGCCATTTTTCTTACTCAAACTTAGCCAAAATTTTTCAGATATTTGTCCCATTAGAAGATTTTGTAATCCTCTAATAATATAAGTAGAATTTTTTGTTTTATATAAACCTAACAAACATATCAAACTGAATAGATTTGAATTGAATTATCTTAGATTCTTAATTAATTTATTTTGAATTTCAAATTAAAATGGTAAACGGTAAACTTATGACTCATTTACACGGATCTTAAATTGAATTGGTTAGACTTAAGACTTAACTTTTTGAAAAAATTAAAATTAAATTTTTTTAATATTTTTTCTATTTTTCCTTTAAAAGATTTAATATTAAATAATTATTTTATCAAAAATATAAGTTAAATTAATATTAACACTAATAATCTAATAAATAATTATTTTATAATATTTAATTTTATCTTATATTTAAAAATTAAAAATAAAAATAAAAATAATTAAAATTTTAAATTAAAAATTAATTAATTTTAATCAAATCACTTAAGGTTAACTCAATTTGACCTTAACTTGATTCCACCTTAATTTAACTCAATTGGGTCTTGATAATTTCAATCTGAATTATATCAAATTTCAAATTAACATTTTAAACCTATAACCCTTCTCATTATAGGAATATTAAGTCAAAATTTTAAATTAAATCTAATTTTACCGGATCCATAACCCTTCCATTGCAAGTGAATGAAGTTAAATTTTCAAATTAAATCTAATTTTACCAACTCTAATTTTTGTTAAATTCAAAATACACCACGGTATAAATAACTAAAAATTTGTCCCCATTCAACTATTTAAGTATGTCATCCTTTAATGCATAGGATATTAAGACTTTAAAGTTCTTTAAAGGTGAAAAGTGTCACCCATTAAATAAATTAAGTGACTTATGCTATCATCCATTTCAAATTTTAGTCCCACAATTTTCATCCCCTTTACTATCATCCTTCTTTGCAAAAAATTTGAATCAAATACCTGAGAAAATTTCGGCAACTTTTTGATAATAAGATACCCAAAGTAAGTGCTGAAAAAAAAAATCAAAAATTTCTTCAGCTTCTATAACAATTGTAGGATCAAAATCATATTTCTGCTCAGAAGACATGAATTTTCTTCTCATTGATTTTAAAAATCTCTGAAGTCTGACATGCGTTAATATTTTTCATGATTCATCACAGCAGAAATATGAACCGAAGCTACAAAAACAAAATTAATAAAAAAAAAAAAAGGTTTTGGAATATACAATAGCTCTCATACTTTCTCTCAATAGCTTCTGCTCATGTATTTTATCGGAATAGCGTATATTGCCTAATTAGGCTCGCAATCACAGAGCTATTGCAATCCAAGGTCAAGAAATCAAAGAAATTTCATAATTTGAGATCAGAGTTTTGGAAAAAGTTATCGGTCACGGTGAATCAGAAACACGGACCAAAAGAAAATACTCATCCTTTCTCAGAAACCAAACCGGAATTTTCTCGGAAAATTAAAATGAAAAACAAAGAAAAAAAGGAAGATCATCAGAGACTTAAATACATCCGAAATCACGAAACGGAATGAATCCATCATGTTGTTGGTCTCACGATCTCATCAATTGATCGATAAATCGCACTGAAACTGAAAACAAAAATCTCTACCAAACAAAACCCTAATTTCTGAGAAGAAAGAACAGATGAAAGAGGTAGTCGAAACCCTAGCCGATCGGGTAGAGCCGCAGGGAAGAGTGTTTGTCGCTCGTATTTAAAGACTGAATGCTCGTTAAAACCCTAGATTAAACGGTCTCGTTTTAATCAGGGAAACCTGTTTGCAGTTCGTACTTGGGCTCCATAATTTATCATTTTTGTATTGGGCTCAATAATTGGTAACCGACCAGAATTTTTATCAACGATGGGCCTGTACATTTTTTTTTTTTTTTTAGTTTAACACTAAACCTGTATAATTCTTCTTTTGAATCTTTTCTCTTTTATTTTTGCCCATATTTCGATGCTCAACCCTATGTATTGTATTCACCCTTCTTTGAGATGAGGAGGTAACTTTTGACTTGTGTAGAATGATCGAATTTATAATTATTATATCAAATAAGTTATAAGTTTTATTTTAAAATAAAGAGAATTTAATTTTATATCTTTATTTTATAAAAAAAAGATCACTACTTTGTCATTTGAGTTGGATTGTTTTGTTAATATTTGAAAGTTGAAACTAAAAGATTCATATTTTAATGTAAGAACAACTAATTAATCAGAAAAGAAAACATTGAAATTCCAAATTTTTTAGGGCATCATTATTCTTAGTAGATTGCAATTCTACAACTAATCAATCTTAATCGAAGATCTCCAATACCATGTAGGGTGTAGAGATGAGAATGACAATAAAGAACTTTACATTGAATCATGCTCATCAACACCCCAAGATGAAGGACAGAATGTAATGACATACTCTTTAGCAGCACAATTCACCAATGGAGGAGGCATGTCATAAGCATAACTGTAATAAGAAGGACAAGCATCCTTAAACATCTTTGAGTAAATATTAGGCTTGCATTTCTCCGGCGTCCCATACTCATTCCGGCAGCAAAATGAGTCAAGATCAAACGCCAAGCACGCACTTTTACAAGCCACAACGTTGTCCCCGCCTGAGTTCGTGACCTGAAGCTCTTGTGGGCACATAGATTTTAGATCTTTCGAGCAGCCTCCAATACTACATTTGGATGAAAAAGGTTTTGTAGTCATTAAAACAGGGAGATTGTAGCCGTCAACCAGGCTAATGTCGTAAAAATTCGGCTTGCCCTTGTCTCCAGTGAGAGAAACTTGCACCAGAGTGGCAGGAGGCTTGCCAATTAGTCCATTGCATTGGAGTCTCCCATCACAGTCTCCAGTTTCACAAGCCTGTTGTGAGTTGAAGTTGCAGCCGGTCCGGGCCCAAATCCGGCCATTCCATGTCCACGGGGCATCAATGCGTTGAGTTTGGCCAGGTGGAAGGTAGAACCCGCCATCTGCTAGCACCGGATGGCCGGTGTTTGGGGCAGTTGCCGGCCAGATAGGGAAGGGGCATTTGTTCTGTACATAAAATGTAACAGTATGTGCTTCTGGATGCCCTGCAATATTAATTTCTCCTTCTATTAGACAAGATTTTAACATGCATCACTTTTATAATGCTTAAATATCGAAATAAAAAGGGAGAACTTTACCAGAAAAGGAGAGCAGAAAAAGCGCAGCAACTATCTTCAATGGCTTCATTTTGGGATATGAATGTAGATTTGCTGTGAAATTGGAGAGGTTTTGGAATTATTGTTTATATACAAAAAAATTGATAATGATGTGTTCTTTGATTGCACTTCAAGGTTTGATGTGTGCAATGCAATCTTTAGGGACAAGCCTTAAGTCTAGCTATCTTGTAAGAAAACCCAAGCAACATCAAGTGACAATTAGAAGCTGACATTTTGCAGGAAAATTTGAAGATAATAACATGTGGGAATTGCTTTAGTGAATGAAAATTTTGAAATAAAGATAGAAAATTGAAGGGATGAAGTCAAGGATGAATAAGAGAAGATTTAACATGATTTATCTTATTATTATCAGTAATAATCTATATTTACATACAAAAAATTTTAAAGAATTATAGATTATATTGCTTGTCTTAAAGAATTATAAATTGTAATACTTGAATTATTTAATGAGTACATGAGACCTCACTTCAATAGGGGGCATAATGGATAAAACATAAAAAATAATAATGGGAAGGAAATATGATATTTAGGGATTCTAATGATATAAATTTAGATAGGACGGCTTCATACAATTTCCAAATAAATGTAGGGAAGATTATATTTTCCAATAGTGAAGAAAATTAACCATCAAATCACCATTCAAAAGCTACATCTCACTGCAATACATTCAAAATCCAACCTTCTAGTGTAGCATTATTTTTGCAAGTTAGAGGGTTGGCCAAATTGGCAGTATCTTTGAAAATGATTTGTGAAGATGTAAACTTAATATTTGATGTGTGTAAAGGGCCTAGTTTGTGAAGGGCTTGCCAAATTCAACTTTCTAGTTTTGTTTATTAGTATTGTATTGTATTATTGAGGTGAGTTTTTTTTTTCTCATATTATTTAAAAATATATAAAATATTAATTAAAATTAATATAAGATATATAAAAAATTAATTAGAATTAATTACTTAGATTTATAAACTTACTTTTTTTCAGATAAAGTTTAGTACACAAAGCGCGGACAACAAAAAAAAAACAAAAGCCTGGTCTAGTTTCGATTTTTTGTAAGAAAAAGGCAAAAATCCTTCTTAAGCCCCCAAACTTATCTCAAAATATCATGTAAGCTCCTACATTAAAAATAAAGCAGATAAAGCTTCTAATTCTATTGAAAATGCAAATAAACCCTTTTTACAAACAGATCAAACTGTATTTCATATTTAATATCACTTTGAAAGTATGAATACCCATGAGTAAAAAGGGCTTATTTGCAGCATTTGTGGAGTTTGAGGGTTTATTTGCCTCATTTTTTGTTTAAGGGCTTAAATGCTATTTGGGGTAAGTTTGAGGGCTTAAGAAGGTTTTTGCCTAAGAAAAATGAAATATTTTTGGTAAAAAAACAAAAAAGGAAAAATGATATCATTTTTACCAGGAAAGGAAAAATAAGATTTACTTGTCTATTATAAGTTGGGACGGAGAATCTTATTGGATTGTTTTTCAGGATTTGTTTCTTTACAAGGGCCTCCCACCTAAGCTAAGTCACAAACCTGCCTTAGGCTTATGATTGAACCGACCGCATCACAACGAATAACAATGGCACCTACCTTACGTTATTCATTGTTAAAAGCCTAGAGTAACGGTATTGGCTGGTGCTGTTTTTAATGTCTTTGTTTAGAAAATCCGAATGGCTTATGTCTGCCTCGTGAATTGGGTCTTCTCTCTCTCTCTGTGTTGTGTTTTGTCTCCACGCTGTAACATATTCTGGGACACTGCAAGAGAGAGAACTCAAAACCCAACTCACTAAGCATCGGGTCTATCATCGGAACCTCACTCAATTACCATCACTATTTCAAATTTGAATGCCGTTTTACCCTTCCCCTTTTAAGCCCGCTTCTGGCGCCTCTCCCCCTTTGACCACCTCGGTCACCCCCCACATTGCCTTGACCACAACCTCCATTTCTAGCCGAAGAACCCTCCTTTCAAGCATTTCATCAAACATTTCTTCTGCATTCTCTCAAACATGGATAAACAGCCCCAAAAGACTGAAACTTTTCACAGTGATTCTGTCACTAGAACTATTAAAGATCTTATTTTGAATGATGGTGTTAGTATTGGTTTTTGTAGCAGTACCGCTTCTGGGTCTGATTCTGGTGTTAGTAGTAGCAGTACTAGCATTGGTACTAGCAGTTTTCAGGATTGTAGGGTGAATACCGCTGTCAGCTTAAGCGTCTGCAGTAGTAGTAAGATTTCTGGGTCTGATAACGGCAATAGTTTTAGTAGCAATGTTAGTAACGCTACCGTTGAAGCAAACAAGAATGTGGACTCTAGTGTTGATTGTGAAGAGAGTGAAAAGAGCAGTTTTGATGCAAATGACAGTAGTTTTAGGAGCTCTTGCCCATCAAAACCGCATAAAGGCAATGATATTAGATGGGATGCCATACAACGTGTTAAGGGGAAAGATCGGGACTTGGGGCTGGGTCATTTTAGGCTATTGAAGAAGCTAGGCTGTGGAGACATAGGGAGTGTTTATTTGGCTGAGTTAAGAGGGATGGGGTGTTTGTTTGCAATTAAGGTCATGGATAAAGGGATGTTAGCTGGGAGAAAGAAGTTGATGAGAGCACAGACCGAGAGGGAGATACTGGCTTTACTGGATCATCCATTTTTACCTACACTCTATTCACATTTCGAGACACAGAAGTTTTCTTGCTTGCTGATGGAGTTTTGCAGCGGTGGGGATCTTCATATCCTAAGGCAGCGACAGCCTGGCAAGCATTTCTCTGAACCAGCAGCAAGGTTAGTTTCTAACTTCTAAAGTGTATGTTTTAGTATCTTGTTAGACCTGTTTTGTTATCAGTTAGCTGTTTAAGAAAGTTGATAAGTTGGATAACAGAAACAGAAATCCTTCCTGAGTGTTAGCATTCAAAAATTTTGTATGTATAAGGATTCAACGATCCCAACTGTAGTGGGAGATGGGGTCAGCTGGAGGATATGAGGTAATTTGGTTCAGAAGTTAAATAATTAAATTGAGTTCTGTGCTTGATGATATTGGCTGGAGGAACTAAACTGTGGGTTCAAGATATCTACCCTGCTTAGTTAATGTCGTAAATTGACTGTAATCAAGGGTTCATCAGTTTTTTCTTGCCCCTTGTAGGTTCTATGCTTCAGAAGTGCTTCTGGCCCTTGAGTATCTGCACATGATGGGAGTGGTATACAGGGATTTGAAGCCTGAAAATGTATTAGTGAGGGAGGATGGCCATATCATGCTATCTGACTTTGATTTATCATTACAATGTTTTGTCAATCCTACCCTTGTGGAGTCCAGCACCCAGCCATCATGTAGGATCTCTGCATACTGCATTCAACCAGCATGCATTGATCCAGCCTGTAGAGTACCAGTGTGTGTGGAACCTTCATGTTTGCAACCAGCTTGCTTTAGGCCTCGTTTTTTCAGCTCCAAAACTGCCAAGGTGAAAAGTGAAAGAACAGGCTTGGCAAATTCAGATTCACTTCCTGTACTTATTGCAGAGCCAACTAATGCCCGCTCTATGTCATTTGTTGGGACACATGAGTATTTAGCTCCTGAGATAATAAGAGGAGATGGCCATGGGAGTGCAGTGGATTGGTGGACATTTGGCATTTTCTTATACGAATTACTGCTAGGAAGGACACCATTTAAAGGCAATGGTAACCGGGAAACACTATTCAATGTGGTTGGTCAGCCCCTAAAATTTCCAGAGGGATCTTCTCTCAGTTTTGCTGCTAAGGATTTAATCCGAGGTCTGCTTGTAAAGGACCCACAGAAGAGATTAGGCTTCAAAAGAGGTGCCACAGAGATCAAGCAGCATGCTTTCTTTGAAAGTATTAATTGGGCACTGATTCGCAGCACACATCCTCCTGAAATACCTAAACCAGTTGATCTTGCATTTTTAAATCACGGGCACAAGGTATCCTTGCCTCCAAACCATAAGGGAGCTACAGACTCGGAAAAGTCATCAGGTCCTTACTTAGATTTTGAATTCTTCTAATAAAATTTTGCCAGGAACTCATAGTTGCTATCTTGAGGAGCTTGTTTTACATTGTTCATGTGCCTTCATTTGCTCAATGAAAATCTTCTCATCTTCACAATATCATATAACCCTCTTTTTACATCAAAAGTTGGGTACTCTGTAGCTCATACTTCTGCCATCTCGCAACAATTGGTGCATAATGGGGACCTGATTATCTGATCCCACAAGAAAATCATTTTTCTTTTCATTAGCAAATGAAAAGGAGGACAAAAATTGAAGCAACTTTTGTTGTAAGATCTCTTTCACTCCCCACCCACTGTGTCTTTGATGTATGGTATGGAAGAGAGTCCTAAGGTGGCCCTCCAATGGTGGGGCTTAAGTTCCCTTTTCATCTTTATCCAGAACAAACAGTCTAAAAACTGGAATCTCCCAGTTTATTCCTTACCTGCAAACGAACTTTTGTTAAAGAACCCCAAACTAGACAAGTCATAGTAAAGCTTTAATGGTGTCAAGCAATGGATGCATGTAGCATTGAGGAAATGTTTTGTCACTTTCATGTTGAGATCTCTGTTTCTTACGTACTCTGTTAACTTTATGTGAATTTCTGCTTCCTTCAACACTTTTCCCGGTATTCCTTTATTCTATGAAGGTCTTGCTTTTTTCTTTTTCTTTTTTTTTTTTTTTAAATAAAAAAAGAGGATGCTTTATTCCCTTGCAGTCAACAGGCTTTTTTCCTTTTTCTTGAAGATGACAATATTTTTCTTTCCATCTCCAGTGCTTTTCTTGCTTGGAATGTGGAATTGAAAAATGAGAATGATACCTGCCATAATTTAATCAACGATGGAGAAAGCAAAGGCGCTCTTTACATCAACTGCTTTACATGAAAAATTAAAATCTTAGAAGAATTACTACCTACTTATTATTTCAAATGGAAAAAACTCAATTACTACTTATCTGTTAATTTAAGTGAAAAACACTTGGGCTCTTTTAAATAAAATCTTAAATTTAAGTCTTGTAAACAAAGAGGCAGTTACTTAAAAATTTTATTACTTATGGGTTTCGATATAAGTTGATTTCAAATTAATTAGATCCAATATAAGTTTTGGATATCAAGGGTTTAATATCTAAAAAAACATTTAAAAGAATCAAAAGCAATTGTGAGATGTCTTCCAGATTTCAAGTCATGAATCATGGTCATTCATTAAAAAATTGCACTTGGAGCCCTTCAATTCTGCAGTTCTCTGTTGGTATTTATTTTAGTAAAAGGTTTGAACAGCACATGTTCATTTAAAGCATCCTCTGTATGGCTCCTTGGAGACATTGTAAAACGTAGTAGTTGCAACCTGCAAAGGCTTAGTGGTCCATAATTTTCCTTTTCCCACCAGCAGCTTATTACTACCTAATTCTAATTTTTTAAAGAATAAATAGTACCAAAGTTTGGATAAGGTGATTTTGAACAACAATTTCTATGTCTTGATCTTAGCAACAAAACACAAAAGTAAACTTAAAAAAAACGAAAATTTCGAGGAAAGAATCCTGGGATGCTTCCAATTTTCCATCATTAGTCCTGCAAAACAATACTTCACCATCAATTATCATTTGATATGGTGCATTGTCTAGTGTCCAAGAAAATGAGCACGACTCTTTCTCAATATCAACTACTATACCCATGATAACTAAATCAGACTGGCGTGGGAGTAATATAAAGACAATTCGAACCAATTAACATGGCCTTGGTGTTGAATATTATCCAAAGCGTGCATGTTGTTGCTGGATTATGATTAATAATGTCAAAATTTAGATAGTATCTTACCGTTCGTTTGATTTGAGAAAAATAGATAAAGAAAGGAATGAAATGGAAGGCTCTTGCTTAGTTCACTAATTAATTCTATTAACAAGATGTTATGCTAAGATTCATTACAGATTAAATCTTAAATATCATAGAGAATATTCAGCAAGCATGCTGCTTGCTGCTACTTCGGCAATAAGAAGCATGCTTTTGCCACAGCATGCCTACATCTTGATTATTCTTGTGATTCTCCAATGTGATGGAAGCAGTTTTAGTGGCTGAGGTTATGGCGACTAGCCTTTTTGTTTAGATCACTAGTTTTATTCTTGTGCTCTATTCGTGGAGTTGACTGACGAGCTGGTCCCCGTGGCGATGGCAAACCGAATGACCATGTTTCATGGGACGACGCTAAGAGGGTGGAAAGGGATGGATCCGTTTTATTTCTTCATGAACCCCAGTCCTACATACGAAGTGACGTTCCTGAATAAGTTACCATACGAGCTGACATGCGGCGCCAGTAAATCGAGCCACGAAGTGGCAAATTACATCCAGAGGATGATAGCGGCGAGCTTGTCGTATGAGCGCACGAGATTCACTAGGAAGGATAAGTACCGAGCCCTCGCCGGAAACGACGGACAGTGGTGGAGAAACCTAAGTTTTCTGCTAACAAAGTGATGGGATATTAGCTCTGTAACGTTATTTATTTATAGTATTAAATTCTGTTAAAAGTATACTATTTAAAAAAAAAAATTATTTATTAACATTTAAATAATTCAGTAATTATTTTTTTTTATTAAAAATAAAAAATTTTAAATTTAAATTATATGACATGTGGGTAAGATGAAAGAAAAGATGAAAAATAATTACTTTTCATTATGCCATTAAAATAAAAAAATTATTTTATAATATAAACTATAAAATATAAAACCAATACGAAAACCAAACATAAATCACAAGTTCTCTCAGAAGTCATTGGTAGTCCAGTGGCTACCCATGTCTTGATAAGAGCATCCTCATGCATGTACGAGGTGTGGGCTTGGAAATTGGAATCTCACCCCTACGTTCAAAAAAATTCTCTAATATTGTGTCACTTCCTTATTTAAACATTTTTATTTTGTAGTTTAATACAATCCATTTTGTAACAACATTCTCGTACTATTTATACAGGCCATGTAAGCCCCATTTGATGGCCCAAAAAGGGCAAAACCGTTATTCATGGGCTATCATGAGGCTGATAATATTAACGGACTAATAAGCCCAAAGCAGTTTCAAAACTGTTCTAGACATAGCCCAAATCACTTTGGGCTGTTCGCATACATAAACTTTTTATCCGTTTAGCTCCGAACGGAAGTTTCCAGGAAACGTGGTTGTCATGCGTAAATTTAATAAATAATTTATTAATTATATAATTTATTTTATTTT